CCCGCCCCCCCCCCCGCCCCTCGCCCCCCGGTCAACAACGTAGACCATCCTCACCGCCAACCGTTGTTGTTGACGCCACAACTGGCCAACTCGACTCCGCAAAAGACCCATGTGGTCGCATGTCGAACGGGTATTGTAGTATTTTTGTGTTTCCTGAAGAGGCGACTTGTACCAAGACTACTTGGACCGATCGCCTTTTTCGGCGTTACGTCCTGTAATGAAAAATGGTTGGGCGGAGTAAACACAGGCAGGGAGGGGATCGCACCATGGACTACCAATACCAAGAGGCGTTTGTTGTTGATCCTTGGCCATGCGTCAACCACTAGTAACCACGTTCGCTTGATCACCCACGTGGGCCATGTGGAGAGGTATGCGCGATCCGGACTATCGTTCAGATGCCCGCATGAAACTGCTCTATATGCGGTCAGCGTCTGTCGTTGCCTCGACGTACACCTCCTTTCGTTCGTTGCGTTGGGAAAGAGCTATAGCTAATCCTCTCTTCCTCGCGATGATGTCGTTGGCATGCATCAGAGATTTTTTGGTTCGTTTTAGTGTGGCCCTGGATCGAGTCACTTTAAAATTAATAGTCCCTCGGACAACACCCTCTCGTAGAGCTGTGACGGAGAAGAACGTTACAGTTTGTTGTCGTTGTCCTCGCCTGCTTCTTCCCTGACGATCTTATCATTCTCTGCCCCCTCTTGGCGGTGGCGCTACGCGCACCCTCACAGGCAACACCAAGAGGAGCGCGAAGAGTACGAGAAGAAGTTCCGGCAACAGGTGAGAGGGCTAGGGTCGTTGCGTCGGGTGCCAACCCCAGTTCTCTCCTTTTCATGGGCGCATAAGATCCAAGGCTTGAAGTCATGTTCATGGATGGTACTGAACATGACTCGGGGGGGGCGGCTGGAGGGAAGGGCGTCTGATTTTTGCTGCCGTCCCCCCGTCCCCATCAAGGCCCCATTCACCAGCGCGCGGGCCATTGGCGCGTCGCTCCAGCCCAAGGCGTTGGTGGTGTTGTTGTTGTTGTTCTCTACACACATAAAAACCGCACCTGTCTCAGTACAGTGTAACTTTACCTTCTACATAACCGTACCGGTCCACCCTACTAAAGCAGTCCAACCCCATTCCTTTCCTGTCACACGCACTTCATTTTCCTTGGGCGTGACATGCGTATTTGCCGCAGCTCGCCGAAATGGACCGGATACAGCACAGCTTGAAGCAGCTACAGGAGGCGCACATGGTGATGAAGCAGCAGTACGAGGACGAGATAGTTAGGCTTCGACATCAGCTTGAATCCTCTCACCCGCTCAAGAGCGACCCAGATAGCCGTGTTGGGGGAGTGGTAAGAGGACCGACTTCCTGCAACAGCCGTTGTGGGCAACCGCAATGCACGTGTCTATGTTGGCGTACGCGCTGTCCTGCTTCTTTGTGACCCTGCCTGAAGATTTGATTGGCAGGGTAAGCATCCCACCAGCCTGATGGCCGTACTATTGCACCTGTTGTCGGGGGGATACAGCTTCTACTTTTCGCGGATGGACACAATGGACGACAGGGAGAGAGCCTTAGCACGACCGCCTCATCATAAAGGACCATGCATGAATTTACTCCCCTTTTTGCCTGGGCCCACGTGGCCCTGTGATTTGGTGATCCCGCTTGCGAGCCCGCTCGTGCGTATTGCTTGACCCCCCCCCCCCTCGGTGTTTGCCCTCGGGATTGGGTTTTCGTCGCTTGGCAACGACGTTGTAAATCAAGCCAATTCACTTCGTGAACTCGGCAACCAGGTTACACCGTTTTGTTTCACCTCTGTTTTTTTTTTGGCGGTTACCATAATGGTGGTCGAGGGGTACATATTGTTCTGCGTGTTCGAGACCCCCCACTCCGCGCAAAGGGGATAATCGCACCACGTTGTGTGAAATTGGTCAAGCACCCTCGAGGCAGTTGCACAATGCTTACAACTGTCTCTACAAGTGGAAGCACCAGAAAATAAGTTTATCCATACGCAGCTGTCATCCGTACGCAAGAAAGTAAGCACAAGATGCCGAAAACCCTTAACAAGATGCAGCGCACCCTTCATGCGACTCGCCGAATTTCTCACGGCGCCTCGTGCTTGGTGATGTGAGAGCCTGGTCCGGTGAGAACCCGGCGTGCACCGTCCCGGCTTTGTAGGGATGCGAGGTCAATGGTCTAACGACTACGGCATGCACGACTATGGGTACACCCCCCCCCTAGCGTGCCGCTGTACCTTGTCCGCGTTGACCCGTCTACTTCGTTCCGTTCCTCGTCCCGACAGGGAAGCTCGGTACAGGGAGTGAGCGGTGGCATGAGTATGGGCTCCACCGGCCCCAGCCAGTCCCACAGCAGCGGCCCCCCGCACAAGGGCCTAGGAGGCATGCCTGCAGGGGGGCCCCACGGCGTGGGGTCCCCTCGGAAGCAGCCTGGCCAGCTTGAGCCAGGGGCGGCGAGCCTTCGTGGGCCTATGTTGACGGCACCGGGGGCGCAGATGATGGGAGGTGGTGGTATGGGTGCGGGGTCGGGAGTGGTGCTGCCCGGGATGGCGATGCGAGGGCGGGACCACGGCGAGGATGACTACGGCGGCGGGAGGGGCCAAAGGCCAAATGGGCAGACGCTGGAACCTCTGAGCAAGCGACCAAGGTGAGCGGATTAGCTTGAGGTTACGTCGAAGAACTGTGTGGCGGCTGGTGTTCGATGCCGACATCCAAGAGCTACTAGCTTCGTTGGCGCACGGGATCTTGTTTTTGTCGGGTAGGGGAGGGGAGTGGGATGGTGGTCGTGGTGGTGGTCGTGGTGGTGGTCGAAGCGGAGGTGGTTGTTGTGAAGACGTTCGGTGGTGTTTCTGATTTTTTTCATCGATCGGTGTTGAAAGAAACAGAGCCGCCTTGCAGACTAGATGCCTCAAATTTACTGCCGGAGCCGGCCCTTCGTTCAGCAAGCTGCAGACCTTTCAGAGACGTTCCTAGATACCTTCGTGTTGAGATTGTAGCTATTCAGGTCCAACCGCGTCGCCGCACCCTGTCGGCGCCCCTGGCGTTCCTTCCGAAAGCGCTCTATATTCCGCCCCGTGTGTGTTGATAACCTGACGCTGGCCCAAACCGCTTTGTACGTGGCAATACCAGGCTGGCAGACCTACAGGGACCGCCCGGTCCCCTGCCGCCGCACGTGCTCCATCCCCCACCCGGCTTCAGCCAATCGCATCACCAGCAGCACCCACAGCAGCACCAGCAACACCCGCCGCCGCACCACAAGGGCGGGTTCTTCGGAGGACGCCCGGGAGCCCCCCCCGCCGTTGCCGGCGGGGGGGGCGGCGGCGACAACGTTGGTCGCCGTCCAGGCGGCCCGGAAGGGCAGTACAGATGGCCCGGCGGTTCTGGTCCAGGAGGGGGCGGGGGCGGTGGTGACAGCGGCGGTGCCGGCGCCGGGGGTGGCGCCGGGGTCCCTGCGATGGGCCCGGGAAAACAGAGGCAACTTGGCCCGGGGGGGGGGG